CGTAGAACCATTTTTTAACTATTTGGGCCATGATATTAAAAAATCTTAAGCAAAATTCTTCTGGTGTATTATCTACAGAGAATAAAGTAGATGTTGGAGTATTCAAATCATCTATAGGTGTATAGTATTTGTACATGAAATTTTTTATTTTATTTGTAGAGTTAAATAAAATAAATTGTACCCTTTCAGATTCCTCTGGATTTTTAAAAGAAATCAATAACCCATAATAAGAAATTAAAAATAAATACTTTAAACCTCTACTCTTCACCAAAGTATAATACTTTTCAACAATTAAATTTTCCGCTTTAATTGATATGGTAGTGTCATTATCTTGTTTAATAACATAGAAATCATTTTGGACATATTTCCAGTATGCATCTATTGCATTGACTTCTTGTGACGTATAACAATACACTATAACTGTAAAAACAACGCACCATAAAATTCTCATTTTAAATTGTATTCTTGTACTTATTTGATAAATTTAAAAATTCTAAACTTATTATAATAATGAAATTAATTTAAATGTAACCTTTTTTATAGTTTTATAAAACACTTTCAATGATTTACTAAATGATTCACTTATTAACCATTTAATCAAAAAATAAACATTAATGTGTTTTTTTATTTGAACAAATTTCTTTTGCAAATAATAATAAATAACTCGGTAAATGTCAAGCAATATTAATTTTCGCATAAAATTATGAATATTACACTTATGTATCTATAACAACTTATCGATAATTTTTATCTTCATCTATAGAAATCGCAAGACTGCGTGGCCTCCCTCGTTAGCTGGACCCAAAAGACGGGTCCGTTGGCCGGGCTACTCCACGTCAAGGTGGAGGGAGGACTTTGCGAAAGTCTAGGCTTAATAACTCATAATAAAACATATAAACAGATAACAAAACCCAAGGCGCCAGTCTAAACCAGCGCCTCAAGTCCTTCTGTACTGGGTGACAGAGTTTCCTCTGTCACAGCCGACTCTTTGCGTCACATAACTGACTCGGCAAGGGATTCAATATGACAACTTTTTCACCCTAACTTTTGAAAGAGTTCCAGATATACTGACACTTTAATAATATAAATATTATAAATAATATATATTATATATCTTAAATTAAAGCTTAAAAAATATACTTTATTATGAAAAAATAAATAAAATTTTGACCTTTAATTTTTTAAATTAAATTATTAATTTTATTTTATTAATTTAAAAAATTAAATTAATAAAAAAATACGATTTCTAAGGGAAAACACCTTTGCCACGAACTGATAATGATCCGATATTTACATACGACATTTGACAAAGTAGTAATTGTTACGAACATCTGGTACTCCGACCATCTGATATCATAGGTTACTAAAATTACGACGGATTTTACTCCGACATTAAATTAAAAAAATGAGACGGTAAAAACTCCGACATCATCGATAGTTTGATTATACATCGAAAGTTATATTATATATTGATTGTATTAATAGTAATAGGGCGAATCGATCGTATATGTTGCAACGTCAGGGTCAAGTGGCTACAAAAACACTACATTTTTAAATTAATTATATTATTATTAATAATATTGTAAAATTTAAATTAAAATGTTCTTTTAAATTAGCATTTATTTGCTACTATAGTTATTATACAATAATATACATATTGCTTATTATTTTCTGATACAATTTCTCATATTTGACAAATGTTATTAATACTCGAATGATAATAGTCATTCATTAAGTAACAAAATTAATAGTTTTTAATATAACTGTACATTTTTGAAAAGTTTTCTCTATTGTTAGAATATATATTTATCTTTGAGAATTTTATTTCTTAATTATCCAATAATTACAAAATATTTCCATCAAATCAAAAAACTGTTAGTTGACTGTTTTTTCAATTCATCCACAAAATTTTACCTAACCGAAACTTATTTTTTAACATCTAAGAGATCCATTAGAAAACTAATTTTTCTATAACAAATATGTGCTGTAAAAATTGTAATGTGCAATTTTATTAGTGATTAATTCCTAAGTGTGTATTATTAAAAAAAAAACGGTAGCACAGTGGGGTCGAGGCACAGTGTGGACGAGGCATAGATGGGACAAGTATAGATGATATCTGACAGTGATTAAAATCACTATCATAAGAAACGCTTCGATGCAAATCTGTAGATAGTGTTTCATTTAGAGAAATTGGTGGATTATTCCAAAAGCAACATCAACTCTTATTTCTTTAATTATATCCTGATTAGTAGTTCTTTGATTTTAAAATATAATATATGAATAAATACTAATTATAGTTTTTAAATTCAGTATGAAATTGTGAGGCCAGCTATGATGTATAGTTCATTGTGTTGGGCGGTTGATAAGAAAGTAGAGCAGAAAATTAGTTTAGTAGAGATGAGAATGTTTAGTTGGATGAGTGGAGTGACTAGAGAAGATATGGTAAGGAACGAGCATATAAGAGGACCTATACTTCCTCTTATATCGTCAATCGTAGATAAGATGACAGAAAATAGACTTAGATTGTTTAGTCATGTTATGAGGAGAGAAGAATGGGAAGCTGTAAGAACAGTTATAGAAATGAATTTTGAAGCAAGAAGAGGTAGAGGAAGACCAAAAATGAGATTGAGGGATGTTATTGAATGCGATATGAGGACAGCTGATGTGTGAGCGTAGAAGATGTGGGAGATCGTGTCAAGTAGAAGCTTAGGATAAGGGTGGCCGATCCCAAGTAGTTGGGATTAAAACAATGAAAAATAAAATTCCGGTGGCAATTGACATAATATGATTGTTGTTTGGGAATGTACAATTTAGCGTTCACCCAAAGAAAAACCTCGATCTATATAATAAATTCATTGTTCAATTTGATAAATATATCATTACTATTATATATTATCTATAAACAATCTATTACTAATCATATTACAATCTATTATATATTTATCAATATGATATTTTTTTTTCTTGTCTTGAACAATAATTATTCATAAGAATAATTATTTTGTTTGTATTAATAAAACATTATCATGAACCCTTGATAAAATTTCTCTATCAAAATTGATTGAGGTTTTTCTTTGGGTGTTTAGTTGGGTTTAAACAATATAGCGTCAAATCAATTACCTACTCTATCGTTTGTATATTAATATACACTTCACTTCTTTGATACAATAAATAAGTAAACTCACACATACATATATATGCATTTATAACATTGTGTCTAATGTAAGTATAACATGATAAAAAGTAACCGTAAAATGAAAAAAATGGAATATAAATTTTAGTACTCATATTAAATGTAATGTAACTCGAAAAATATTTGTTTAAATGAAAAAATATAAGATAATTTTTTTGTTTATAATTGTCTTTCAAACAACTTTTGTACGAAACTTTTTTTTGTAAGTTATATATTTTTTGAGAAAATTAAAAAAGCTCATATTTTTTAAATTTTGCGAGGCTGTAAAAAAAAGTTCAATTCCAATCAGTGAGGACTATTAGTATGTCATTATACATATTTTAATTTAACTTTTAAAAAAACAAAATTTGGTTGGGATTNAATTCAACTTTTAAAAAAACAAAATTTTTTCCGCAATTTTTCCTTTGTTGACTGGCCTAGATGTCAATTTTAAACTTGTAATTGAGCTAAAAGTTATGGTAATATATTCAATTTTTTTTACTATAAACTTTCATAAATCTTTATCAAAAATTTTTCATCAACCTTAAAGAACCAAAAAAATAGGTGAAAATTGAAAAGTTGTATAATAAAAATTAATCACTTATGGCTAATTAATTAAGTAAAATTAAAACTATATTAAAAATATTATTAATTTAAAAAACTAAAAAATATTAAAAATATTCAACTCAAAGCAACAAAAAATTAATGAAAAGTTGCGGATACGTATTTCGGAAACAATGTTACCATTATCAACGCTAAATACATTATCATTTTGGAAAATTTGGACTGATTATTTTTAACATATTAAAAATCAAATCAGTAATAATTTGAAAACAATTTTTTTTCTTTTAATTATTATTTTATATATAATTAGTAATAATATAAAAAAGTTTTATTGTCATTTTTTTTCAATGATAGAATAGAGCCACCAACGGTGAACGGCCAGGTCTTTTCGGCGAAGTCTCCAGACCATCGGATGGGTCACTTCGGAGACCGGGTATCGTTTTCTTTTATATATTATATTTATGTAATGAACTATATTTTATTAATTATTTTATTTAATTTCTATTTTATCGTAAATTAACTTAATTTTGTTTATGTGTGAAGAACACGTGTTTCCCTTTTCTTCTAGCCAACGCTAAGGAGAGAATGTCCCAGATCCGCTCCTGGTGTTCGTCATTAATTTCCGATTAACATTAACGGATGTGTTCCAATACCGTCCGTGATGTTTGTAATATTATTTGTTTATTTTGTTTAAATATTTTATTTTATTTGTATTGCCTTTATTTGTAGACATGGTTTTTGATGCATTCGCATTTTTGTCCATGTTTAACTTAATTATCTTTTTTTTTAACAATTAAATTAAATTTCCTTATTAATTTCAACTGTAATATTTATTTTATTGCGCGAGTAACTTAATTACTCGCGTGTATTTCATTCCTATTCCTTAATCTAGACACGGGCTACGGTATGTTTTACATACCAACCACATATAACTTTGATTGTCATAATTGTGTTTAATAAACCACGAGGTATTATAATAATTTATACATATAACGACATATTAACTTAGATTATACTTTTTAATTAACTTAAAATTAAATTCCACCTATGGTCCGGTAATCATATCTGATAGGTGTGACACCTCGCCTAGGTGGTGGTGACTCTTGCTACTATAGCTAGTCGTTATACAAGTGGCAAACCATGTTGTTGTAACAGGCCGATATAAAAGCCCCCTTACACTATTTACAGTAAATTTATCAGAAAAGCTCTATTTTTTTGCATTTTTATCGTAATAGATCACTTAAATATAAATCATAGTAATAATTTCTAATTATCTTTTGTTGTTTAAAAAGATTTTACAATTGAAATATGCAAAACTGAATTAATTTTAATAATTTACTTTAACTAAAAAAATCAATAAAAAAAAAATTGTTAAAAAGATTTACTCAAATGAGCGTGTTATAAAATTTTATTATGATTGTAAAAATCGATTGTTAAATTCAGGTGAAACTAAAAATCATTTCTTTTTTTAGATTTATGATTAATATAGCAACATGTTACCAAAAAATTTGGAATATTATAGACTGTTAGTAACATACACAAATAGAGTTAAAAAATTAATAAATTAATGTAATTGCGTTTTGTAAATTATTTTAATTTTTTAGTCTTTTTGTTTTTAATTTTTTGTTTACATGCATTACATATGTATTTGATGTTCCCTTTATAATTATTTAATATGATGATTATGATTAATAATTTTACAGCAATTGTAATAATTTTTTAATTATTAATATTATTACTATGGTAGTGGCACTATTAATTTTATTTTATTATTTTCAGACTTTGTATTTGTTGTGCCTGGATGAATGCGTCAGAATAACGGCCTAGAGTACATGTTTATTTACAATCTTGAACATGATGGACAATTTGTTGTTTACAGAAATTGTATTTAGGATTTACTTTTTTTGATTGTTATAATTGTCATGGCAGTATTTATTAATGTGGTCTGTAATTTGTAAACAGACCGAGCCTGAAAGACTGTACTTGAATAACAGCCCAGCCCGTTGACCAAGTGTGCCAGCTCTAATGGATAATAGATTTATAACTCAGGTAATTCGTTTTTGTTCGTTTAAAATTGTAATATTAATTATTTATTTAATTTTTATATATACGTACTCATGGACATTTTTGTATTTCTATTGTAATTATTTATGAAAATGTGTAATCAACAATTCTATTACAATTGCACGCATCAATTAAATATTTATTTTTCGACAGTTGTATAATAGCAAATGTATTAATATTAATGTGATTTGATTTCAGACTGTGCTGACTTGGGACTCAAAACATTTTTGCTACTGTTGTACACTAGATCTTGCTGCACTCGTTTAAGCGGTGTCTTCTCATCAAAATGGTACAGTATGAATTTTGTTATTACGCCACTTGGATTTTTGTTTTCTGATTTCATTCTTTACTTTTAGATCGCATATTTATATATACAGTCATTGTTTTTGTTCTCTTCCGGTGACGTCTTGTTGTCAGACACAGAGTGAAGAACAGCGTTTTGTTTGCTCTCGGAGTTCATTGTAAACGCCTGCAGACTTTTCCATCAATCGTACTTTAATATTATTTTCGAATAATATTTTGTTTTTTGTTATTCCCTGTATGAAAAATCACACTGAATTTTGTAACATACTCATTTTTCTTAAGTAGAAAACTTCAAGTTTATAATATTTTTAGTTAATTCAAGCTACTGGCTTCTTAAAAGAAATACCTTTATCATATAAAACTGAGATGTTTTTAAAATCCCAACAGTATAGTAAATACTCCAATATTTTTAGTATATTACACGTACTCTGGATTATTGATTTTAAATCTTAGAATATTTCTTTATTTATCGGTTTGATATGGATTTAATTTACATCAAGTTTGTTATGTTAACATACAAGGTCTAAATTTAAAGTTTTTATTAATTTTGCTAATAACTAAGTAGTTCAGTAATGAAATAAATAAACTCTTTTATTTTTATTTTTATTTTTTCATGTGGAAATCAATTGGAGTTTAATTTTAATAGATCAATCATTATTATAGATCATTTTTTAAATTATTTATTTATTTTATACACAATTAGTAAATAATTAATAAAACACCATTTGTGAATCTTTAAATTAGTTTTTATATGTCATAAAATTAAAATGAAACGGGCTCTGTAAAATCACATACCTTAACTGAATAACGTGTATCAATGCATAATTAAATAAAAACTGTTTATTTAGCTCTAGCACCAGTCATAGCTGTAATTTCTTTTATATTTTGCTTGGGAAAATTTTTAGCATAATAATTATTTATAAGTGAAAAATATTAAACTTTGAGTTTATGATTATTTAAAAATATTTAACAAGTTAAATATTAATAACTCATGGTAATTGCATTATTTGATGTTTGTCTTTGTGGCATGGTTAATTATATCGTTGAATTTTATACTTGGTTTCTCTAAAGAAAATAACAGTATCATATAAAACCTAAAGATTTTATTAAATACTTAATAATAAGTTGTTAATGTTAAATAATTTATTTTATTTTTCATTACTGTTTTATTCAGTTCGAACTGTTATGTAAATTAATTAATTGATTCACGACAATACAGGCTCGATGATTTTCTCATATGATACTTCGTTACTTGCTTTACTTCTCCGTCATTGATTAATATTTACACCCAGACAAAAACCTCGATCTATATAATAAATTCATTGTTTAATTTGATATATATCATTACTATTGAAACTATGATATATTTATTAATATGATAATTTTTTTTCATGTCTTGAACAATAATTATTTTGTTAAATAAAACATTATCATAAACCCTTTAAAATTTCTCTATCAAAATTTATTGAGGTTTTTCTTTGGGTGTATTAAATGTCGACACATAAAAGTATATTGTTTAAATTATACATAAATAAGTTATATATACATAATTGTTGAAGAGTCCCTTCAACGGGGGAGTATGTATAGACTTGTACTTGATGTTGTATGGTAGCACTGTTTTTATGTCAGATTTGTATTGTAATTTTGTGGTTAAGTTAAAATGTAATAAATACAGTTAAAAAAAACTGAAGAACACACTTTTAAAGCATATCGAACTAAAAAGTTACAAATAAGCTTAAAACAATAATACTAGTATTTTTCGTTCATTATTGTTTTAAGTTAATTTTAAAAATTATTTTTAACTTATTAGTTCGATGTTTTTTAGTTTTTTTAAACTATATTTATGTTTTAGTTTTTTATGACATCGCTGTTACAGTCACGGAGTATTTATTGTCAATTATCACTAGCAATGGATATAATTTCTGTATTGCCAGTTAGTGTGTTTATAAACTCACAACAATGTGTCTTATTACGGAATAACCTAAAACACGAACCGTCCGGTCCATGGGCCGGACGGTCAGGGGCCGCAGTTATACTGTATAATAACTACTGATGTATATGCTATTGCCAGTCTGCTGCGCCTTGTCGTCCGACTTCCATTTTGAAACTGCATGTATATTGCAATATGATAATAACTACCTACGCATAAGCCATTGCCCGTCCGCTGTGGCGTGTTCGCCTCGCTGTCGCATGACAACATCTTCCCCCCCCTTGAAATATGCTGTGCGCTCAAATAACATTAAGTGAAATCTACACGTATTTATACAGGAATTAAGCGTTTAGTCTCATCTACAAATAAACGTAGTTAATTAATAACACTAACCCATGTTCTCACCTGATATATACTTACACAATTAAAAAAAAAAATTTATACTTTTTTTAGGTCGTAATTTATTAAGAAACTATTTGTTATAATTAAGTTCTATTACATTATTCATGCCCAAATCAAAAACAATGTTGTTAAAAATTATTATATATTGAATTTACAAATACTTTAGTTAGATTTTTTTATTAAAATACCCTATGCATGCGTGTCCATATGTGTCTTTGTTATGAGCTTTTTTATGAATACTAAAAATTGAACTGCTTACTAGCTTAAATAATGAAGAACGTGCTTTTTTACAAAATACTCGAATAAAATATTTTAAACCTGTTGTATCAATGTCAATTGGAGATACAACAAAGTTGTATTTCTAACAACACTACCTTTTAGCTTTTTAAATAAACAATACTTACTACTAAAATTTAGAGAACGACTCTAGTATGTACATAACTCAGTTCGAGTAGAGAGACATGGTATCGGTTGTAGTTTACGAACAATTGGTATATCGCGTGCGAAAAATTGACTGTACTTACGATCAGCTGCCCCTAAAGACAATTTCAAAAAAAATCGCAGTTGAAAATTCCGAGAAGCTATGGCTGGATTCCGAGTGTAGAGCGTACACTAAGGCTAGTTATTTAACTGCTAGTGAATACGTTAGTTCGGAATTTCAATCTGCGCATTTAAGGGTCCCCTATTGGAAGACGACTGTTGCTGGGTCATGAAAAACATAGCCGTACCGAGTTCATTAAACATTCAAAAGTTAAAAAGCGGGAGTTGGATTAGTCGTCCATAAAAAAAATTGTACGCAAAGTGTCCTACTTTTTTGTCCTAAATAAAATGACTTATCTGAAAAATGAAAAATATATTTTTACTTATATGATCGTGAGCATCGTCAGTTGATCGTATTCAACGAAATTTTACACTTCTAAAATAGATACTCTTTTGATTTTAGTTCTATATTTAAAGTTTTCAAAAACAACAACCCATCACGATATTCAGATCATTGAAATAGACCGTCATGGAACACTTGTTGTGTAAAAAGACAATTTTGTGAATATGTATATATTATTTACTTATTATTCCTATTGTAATAATTATAATCTAGCCATCACATTTAATCGAATGTATCGTTTATTTGTATGGCGTAAGCAAGTTAAATTCGACATTGAATAGTTTTTTAATAAAAATAATGAAATTTTTTAATAGTGGGAATTTTTTTTATTCGTATTGAACCTTTGTCTGAGTAAAATAACAGTAATTTAATGACAGTCTAAACAAATATCGTCCAGGAATAATTTATACAAAATAATGAGGTATATTAATAAACCACATCAAATATCAACACAATTTACAATTTGTAAAAATCATAAACGATTAATTGTTTTAATAATAAAATTTTTTTAATAACTGATGGTTTTATGACTGAAATATACTTCATTAATGATATTATTAAAATTACTTATAACTTTTAATTACTTAAAATAACTTATTATTATAAGTAAAATAGAAATATATAATAAGTTAAAGAGGAGACTAAACGCTCAATTAAGTAACCCTATAAATAAGTAAAGGCTGTGTATCAATTGCACAACGTGCTTCATGCATACTACGTGTATAAAAAGATGATAATAAAAATCTGTAGACAGAGATGTAACAGTCTTAGCGGGGAAAACATACAGTAAATATTACTAGACGGGTAGTACAGCAGCGGAAAGAAATTGACTCACAGGTAGCTCCAAATAGAAATTTCGAGAAGGTCGGACGGCAATGCAAACACGATGCAGCAGACGGGCAATGGCTTATGCGTAGGTAGTTATTATAATATATCTACCTTATTTAAATATACAGAGTGTTCAGTAGGTCAGGAAACCCTATATATAATTAACCCATCCCGACCATAGTATATGGTATGGATATAATATATTCCCACCAGATCATATTATGTGTATTATAATTTTCTGGAACTTTTTGGAATATATTGTAAATTTCTGGAAGTTTTTGGAAGTCTGTCACGGATGGTCCGTCTTTTAGGCCGTCCTCTTATTACCATTGATAATAAAGGCTATATGCTTGCTAATATCGTCATAAATAAATGTAGTTTAAAAAACTAAAAAGTTTAAAATAGGCTTAAAATAATTATGAATAAAAAATACTAGTATTATTGTAATAAAAGCGTCGGGCCCTCAATATACGAAAAATATGGCACAAAGCACGCGCGCTTTTATCATAATAATACTAGTATTTTTTATTCATAATTATTTTAAGCTTATTTTAATAATTATTTTAAACTTTTTAGTTCGATGTGTTTTAAAAGCGTGTTTTTTTAGTTTTTTAAACTATATTTATTTTTTACTTTTTAGTTCCATGTTATGATAGTAGTTACTATCAATATCATGGTTGTAACGGTAACGGTAAATCAGGATTTGATTCCGGGGAGGGGAGTTTGAGAAGCGTCTACCACATCCAAGGAAAGCAGCAGACGCGTAAATTACACCCACTCCCGGAACATGGAGGTAGTGACGAAAAATGACTGAATGACGATTCATCCTTTGTAATCGGAATGAATGAGTTCTATATTTTTAAATAAGAATAAAGTGTGTTAATATATATTTTTAATAATAATTAGAATATATATATGTATATTATAATAATATACATATACATGTAGAGCGACTTAAGTACGTAAACGTATCATGCACGAAGTATACAGGCACGGCACTAGCAATTTTTTCTAGGGGGGGCAGAGCGGGGCAAATATTTTTATTCCATGGGCTAAAGTGTTTCAGAAAGTACTCGGACCATTTAAATAAAATATAAATAAATAGTATGTACAAAGTTTTAAATAGTTAAAATTTGTTGAAGAATACTGTCAAATATTTCTATCTAATATAAGAAAATGTATAATAACAGACAAGTTTCTTTAATTTTACATACCTTAGTGACTGAATGATTAAGCTTCTTTAACTTATATTTTATAAATATAAATTAAAATAATTGTATTTAGTATTGAACAGATGAATTGATTTAACTCAAATTTAACCTTTGTTTCTTTATTTTCATCCAATAATTAGTACTCAATAAATGTAATAATAAATGAATAAAATATTTTTTCTCACTTTACAAATGAAAATATTAGAAATATATTAAAATATATTTGATTGAAATTTTAGGAAATAATTTTTCTCATTAGGCAATACTATAAGGTTTATCTATAAAAAACTAAAAATGTTATTCTATCTGAATGTTGTTCATTCATCATGAAAATGTTATTAATTTCATTAATTCAATGACTATGATTAATAATACATTCAATTAATTTTTGAATTTATTGAGTAGTAGCAAATATATCAAATAAACTAAATTTTGATATTTCACACTATACCTAATAATGCACCATGTTGTAAATGGTTGAAAATCTTGTACCAATACCAGCAAAAATAATATTTTTAAAATAAAAACTGGTGATAACCTACCAAATATTTAATAAGTAGATTTCGTAATTTCTATTATAAAGTTCTTTTAAAAATAATGTAATGTGACTTTTTGATAGTTATTGTTATTTCATAA